GCTCAAAAGTGCTTTTTATAAGTGGCTAGAAAATAAGAACGGTTCTAGGTATCGAGATAAACTCGACGAATTCTGAATCAGCACCGAAAGCTGATATACAATGTGTTCTTTTTAACACCTGTAGAGGTTTCCGAAGTGGTTTTGCAAAATCCAAAATATTGAAAAAAAGACCTCAAAATGGTATTTTATAACTGGCTAGAAAATTAGAACGGTTATAGGTATCGAGATAAACTCGACGAATTCTGAATCAGCATCGAAAGCTGATATAAAACTACCTGTTTAGGAAGAGACAAGAGATTCTTAAAGGGGTTTTCCAGAATCCAAAATATTGAAAAAAATAGCTCAAAACTGTTTTCCAAAAGACGCACGAAAATAACAACGGTAATAGCTATCGAGATAAACTCGACGGATTCTGAATCAGCATCGAAAGCTGATATAAAATAATGTCTTTCCGAAGAGAGGAGAGGTTTCTGAAGGGGTCTTGCGAAATCAAAAATATTGAAAAAAAAACCTCAAAAACGATTTCCAAATTACGATCCAGAAAAAGAACCGTAATAGCTATCGAGATAAACTCGACGAATTCTGAATCAGCATCGAAAGCTGATATAAAATAATGTCTTTCGGAGGAGAGGGGAGATCTCCAAAGGGTTTTCCGAAATCCAAAATATTCAAAAAAATAGCTCAAAACTGTTTTCCAAAAGACGCAAGAAAATAAATACGGTAATAGCTATCGAGATAAACTCGACGAATTCTGAATCAGCATGGAAAGCTGATATAAAGGGTGTGGGTGTGGGTGTGAATAAGCTACCATAATCTAGATTTCATCCCGGCTAAAGGAATCATCAGATGGCTTAATTATTTTGAATTATTCTTAGACGAAAATTCAAAACAAATTTTATCTTCAAGAAGTTACAAAATTATAAAAATATAATAATGTAATAGAAGATTCAATTCACAAAGCAGTAGTGTGAACAAGCTGCCATGATCTAGATTTCGACCTTGCTAAAGTGTCTTGAGGGTGTGAGGGTGTGTTCATTATCAAAACAAAGTTAGATTCAAAGCTCGAATACGACCGGTTTCGACTCTTGCTTAAGGAGCCATCGTCAGGTATCTTAAGAATCTAAAACTACATGAGCGAATATANAGGGTGTGAGGGTGTGTTCATTATCAAAACAAAGTTAGATTCAAAGCTCGAATACGACCGGTTTCGACTCTTGCTTAAGGAGCCATCGTCAGGTATCTTAAGAATCTAAAACTACATGAGCGAGAATAAATAAATCTATCGAACAACTCTTAATAATCAGAAATTTTTCAAGAATATTATTCCAATAAATGAGTACATCAATTAAATTCAAAAATTAAATCTAAATGATAAGTCAAAAAGACAATAATATCAAGATCAAAATCGAAAGAGTACGATCAATATTAACGATCTATTTCTCCCATATCGTAGTTCATCCAAGAGGGTGTGTTCATTATCAAAACAAAGTTAGATTCAAAGCTCGAATACGACCGGTTTCGACTCTTGCTTAAGGAGCCATCGTCAGGTATCTTAAGAATCTAAAACTACATGAGCGAATATATAGATCATTCAAATAAATCTCCTAATTAAAATCAAAATCTTTACTAATCTATTACACCAGCAAAGGAGGGTGGGTGTGAGTATATAGAATTATCGCCGTACCACGACAACGGTTGTTTCTGTCCTGGCTGGGACTTCATCAGGTGGTATCTTAATATTATATTTACTTAGATAGTAATTCTTAAATATAATACATTCGAATTACTTTTCAATATAATAATTAATTTCAAAGACATTTGCACATTCAAATTTTCAAGGAATAGAATTAACTCTAACTATAATCTTAAACAATTATAGAAGTCAATATCCATCCTTATAATCGAAAATTTTCAACAAAAATCAAAGCTTTCTATTCACGAGGTGTGAGTATATAGAATTATCGCCGTACCACGACAACGGTTGTTTCTGTCCTGGCTGGGACTTCATCAGGTGGTAAACTCTAATATTATATTTACTTAGATAGTAATTCTTAAAATAGATTATTAAACATTCGAATTACTTTTCAATATAATAATTAAATTAAAAGACATTTGCACATTTAAAATTTTCAAGGAATAGAATTAACTCTAACTAAAATCTTAAGCGATCATAGAAGTCAATATCTATCCTTATAATCGAAAATTTCGAACAAATTCAATCAAAGAATTTCTATTTCACAATAAAGGTTGTGACCCATATAGAATAATCACCGTGCCACGAGGATATTCATGTAATTGAGTAAATTGTTACAGCTGCAAGTTGGTGGGAGAGGTTTTAGTAAGATGTTTTAACAAGAGCTTCATCTTAGGTTAAAGTATGTCCGTGGTGTTAGTAACTAATATTGCTTGCGATATGAGCTAAAAGTTATGATTTGCTGCAATCATTTGCTAGTGTCATCTGTAGGGGACCTATGCGTCTTATTTCTTCATCTTTTATGAAGCTTGTTGAGATTTACATGTCATTTTCGATGAGTAATTTTGCTTTCTTTTGTATCTGTGTTTGATGTACGATGTTTGGAGTTTTTTTTAGACGCGGTGGACTCGAGAGAAAGGAGCGCATTAATGTGTTTTCGTTCTCTCTGTGTTTATCAAGAAAAAGTTTCTTTCATTTTATATCTGCGCACACACTTATCTCTGCTTCGAATTTTTTCCCAACATCATCCACACATCGCATCATATCAAAAAAAAACAAGTTGTATGTTGTCATTTTTAAAAGACCTGTTATTCCCAAAAATTGCTGTTGTGAAAGATAAAACAACAACTTATAAAACCGATTATTCCAATTTATTATTACTTGCAAATCTTGTAGCATTATTCATTATATTTAAACAATTTCTCCATATTCAACGGTCGGAAGAGCTCTGTGAAAATAAAATCAAAAATTTGCATCGAATATGGGAACATTCACTGATTTAGAACGGAGTGGCCTCAGAATTACTCCTGAATTGCACCTAGAACTACTCAAAGCACAAGAGAAAGTCCTTCGAGAAGTTAAACGAACTTGGTTTTTTCAATATCTGGAAATCGAAATGTACGAGAGCGGCACGATCAAAAGTATACGAAGAGGTTTAGATTGGAAAGGAGTGATATCGATTGGTGCTGTCACTCTGTTATTTGGTGTTGCCATTTATATTATTGGTCCACCGGCTGTTGTTAAGGTAGCGAAACATATGCTGAGCATGGCGGCGACAACGTCGAGAATAGCAACTGTACTGCCATGAGGTGTTACATCAAGCGCAATATCATAAAATCCTATTTTCAACAGCAAATTATTCTATTTTTTTCTTCTTCCTATTCCATTCAATCACTAATGTAGAACTTTAGTACATATGCTGAGCTGTCCAATAATCAGGATAACTTTAACTTTTTTTTTCATCTGGACTTCATGTGTTGCTGCCCATTTCTTTATTCATAATTTCTCTTTCGTTTCATGCCCTCTATTCTTTGTGTATATTCAATTTTTCGAATTTTTTCCTAAAATTGTCTTCATTTCTTTTCATTATATCATCGACCTTCAGTATTCTGTTAAAATTGACCATTTCTTCGTGATTCTCTCCATACTCAATGAAGGATGAAATTGAAATAAATAAATTTCAAGCCATAGTTGATCTGCGGTGAGTACTATTCTCGAAATTATAAGATTCAAAGCAGAACACGACTAGTTTCGTCCTTGCTGAAGGGACTCTACGGGCATGTTGACAATCTATAAGTACATGTATCTAAAACTCTCCAAAGTTCTGAAGAAGTGATAGACAAATGCGTACTAAATCCAATCACATAGCTAGCACAACGCGTTTCGATCTGGCTAAGGATCTCATATCGACGATATATCAACGATATATAAGTAGACACCAATCCATCATACGATGCATTTCGAATGGGGCTTAAATCCGTTCATCATCTATGGGTGAATATTCATTATCTATCGGTGAATTGTCATCAATTGTAGAAAGATGCTCTTCTATAAGACTCGGTCAGCCCTTCGGGCTTCCTTTTGAGATAATACTCTTGTTCTTCTTTTATTCAAAAAAGGAAGACTTCATAATAGTCTAAAAAAGAACCACAGATAACTCGTCTATCTTCATCCAGAGGGTCTATCTTCATGTG